TTTTCATCATACGAAATTAAGTCAGCTTTTCCTTCAAAAAAAAGTTCATTCCTGTAGTTTTTCATTCCCATCCCCCCCCCCCCCCCAAAAAAAAAAAAGAAGAAAAAAGCAGCATGGCTTAAGGTGAAGTTGCTCTGTGCCAGGGAACTTATTTCTGACTTTTGTGGGCTCTCAACAGTGTCGTTTTTCTCCAATGACATCTGCAGCACCATGCATTTAGTTATCAGCTGCCCTGAATATAATCTGAAACACTAGTTTCTAACATTTTTCATTTAACCACCAAATGTAGCCAGATAAGCCATCATAAATTTAACTTTGCAGCAGCTTTCATATACTGCCTCACAAGCACCTACTACATCCCCCAAGAAAAATGTCAGAAAATCCTATGTGTAATTATTTACACCCAAACAAAAAATGTCATTGCTTTAGCATCTTTCATTTCTTACTTGACATCCCTTCTTAAATTCTGTTTTAGACTTCTTTTTAACTATAGCTTGGATGTGTGTGAATTGTGGGCACCACTGTTTCTCTGTAACTTCAGAGGACAGAATTCAGTGCTCACTGCCAATGAGTCAGTCACTCCTAACACTAATGGAGAGTAGCAGTCAAGGTTTTGACAAATCAAATGGCTTTGAAATCCATTCTGCTCATAGATGATTCAATTTGTGAAGCAACTCAGAAAGAAGTTACAACAGCTCCCAGCAGCAGTATGAGAAAAACAGTAGTTTTCTCATTACTCTGGGATACAATTTAGTATAAAGTTTTCATTTTACATACAATGCTATGCAGTTACTGAATTCTTTTAGCTAGCACAAGAAGTACGCCTTAAAAAGTTACTGAATTCAGCCAAACATTGAAACACCTTCTGCACAAGCGAACTTCCAAACATTGTTGTGGTGCATTGTCAGTGAACTGCACGCAACTCACCAAATCAACTTTTTTTTTGGTCAATTTAGATGATCTTTTGGCTTCACTGAAGGCTTCTTCCCAGTACTCTATTTCCTAATAATTTAAATGGAAATACGCCAGTAAAACATATATATGTATAAACATATACTGATTTTTAAGTACACATATGTCGGTTGTTGGAGACTGTTGCATAACATAATAGTGTCTACCGGTATTTCCCTCACACATCGCACCTGGCTAACACAGCCAACTGTCAAACTCGAACTGTTTTAAGTTTCTCCGCTCCTCGAGTGCCTGCGCAATTAAAACAAACGCCCTCGAACGGGCAGCGCGGGAAAAGGCGAGCGCTGCGCCTGGCCGCTGGGGCAGGGGCCTGCCCACAAGGGCATGCCGGAGGCCGGCGC